AATATGAAAATAAACACATAATTGCATTTGTATACAGTAAATAATTATAGATACAAATATCACAGATATGAATATAAAATTGCATTTGTATACAATATGTAGTTGCTTTTGCGTGCAGTATATAATCCTATATTAAATATCAGATATATGTTACATATGTATATGATCGCCAAGCCGAAGACACACACATATATATATATATATACGGAAGAACGCCCTTAAGCGACGATATACATAACATATGTGTGTGCAGACAATAATCGAACTAAAATAATGTGCACGTCAAAATAATTTATACATAAAATAAACACACACACATATAATGCAGCACATACCTACACATGCACAATAGACAGTGATATCCTTAAATGGACTTAATATTGCCACCAACATATGTACACGCACAAGGGTACACGGAGGTAAATAAATGTCTGTTTACATATTAGTATATAGAAACGATTAAACAATCTTAAATACACACCATCATTGAACTACATACGCGCCTCTAGTAAACCACATACAAAATCAAATGTCATATTCATGTGTACATACAAGCGTAATTCAGGAGTACCATAAGTTTGTAAAACAAAAAAAAAGATGCACATAATAGGTCTAATAATACAAACATGCTCGTGTAGAGGACATAACTCCACACAGCCACATGCAGGCGCAAACTATAAATTTATACATGCGTATGTGGTAGAATAGGCAGTCATCCCACAAGATAAGCGCACACGTACACCAAAGTACAGTTCAAATATAGAGTATACACATTTGTAAGAATATACATGTGCTTTTATACATTGAGCTACTCAAGAGATGTTTCAAAATAGCATATAGAGTATACACATATGTAAGAATATACATGTGCTTCTATACATTGAACTACTCAAGAGATGGTTCAAAATAGCAGGTCTAAATACTCTTGTACGAAACCCTTACACAAACGGGCATGAATAGTCATGAACTCACGCTTTGTAAGAACACTCACATTATATACAATTATACAGTGGAACGCATCCATATGCAGGCAAACATGTAACCCACCTGCGCGCTCACACACACTGAGTCAAAGTCTCGATATACAAGTGTACAAAATAGACACATAGACGAAAAACATAGACAGACGGAGATATAGGTATACATCAAGACCTGGAAATAAAAGGTATACATGAGGATACAAAAAGAATACGACGACATGCGCACATAGACAGACTCAAAATATCACGGAAACAGACGCACATACACCAGGCACACATACCAGGCGAGATTTCCACTACGAACGCTAACAAATATGGTTACCTCATAGTTTTAGTACATTTAGCTATTGCGGACTTGAACCAACAATGTGTCAAATAATTCATCTTGAAACCTCGATTTAGCACGACATACTGGACAGCTTATTGCCAGAGTTTTGCGTATAAACATCGAGATATGTGCGTATCTCCGTATCACAGTATCTCACCAACCTTATCACGAGGATGTAAATATGATAACAACGAATACTTCAAAAATCGCCTGGTGGCATGATGATTGTTTACTCAATGAGACTCGTGACGTAAGATTGCAAAGAAGTTAGGAACATATGATTGGCTGTAGCGCGGATTCCGACTCTACGTGATAATACCTCAACTACTACCTAAAAGATAGGACATTTTGTCCAATTCTCAAACCAATGACCTTTAGCACCTCATTAAGGCTTCCTGTTTTACTCCTATCAGAAGCCACAGCTCTACCTCGGGATCAATGAATATCCAGTCCTTTTTAACCGTTGAATGCACCAATAGGAGTCCAGCACTTCGCCGTTGGTTTCGTAAAGAGTTTTGAATCCTTCTTCACGATTGTATTTATTATGAGCTTTCTAATAGATACCGGATACGGGAAATCGATATTTCGAGATTACTCATTTCAATGATTCTATGGCGCTCTGCGAACTATAGTATTTACGGCAATAACAATACACTCAGATATACGGCTCACAATTCACGTATACACAGCCGATTATATAAGGTTAATCATGTACGTAGAATCTGCCACACTATATACAACGAGACTAAACCTACCAATCAACATGGACGGCTACTACACATCTTCATCATCACTAGAATCCAATATGGACTGTGAATTCGACGAATTAGTCAATATGATGGGTAATACAAACGTGGACCCTCAGGCATATATGACAAATCAATACGTGCAGTGGCAGTCACAACAAGCAAATCAAATGATTCAAAATCCAAACGCTCAGTTCCAAAGCGAGGTCGTACCAGAACACCGGTTCATGACATCGTCAGTATCATACCAATGAAGTTGCACGGTGGAAGTATTCATCTGCTTGTGTGCGTTGTACGCCTATAACAATGAGAATTGGCCAAAGTACCGATTCTTTGGGGAACCAGTCGATATCGCGATTGAGACCACTTCCGCGAATTATAACGCCTTGCTCCTAAGGAAGACTAGTTTTTACAATGAGCTCGGTAGCCTATTTTCACGGCCGTTTTACCTAGTTAGTGCTACTTAACTGGCCAGAAACCACTACCTAATATGAGTTACCACTGTCAATGTTTGCAGCCACGGCTATTATGAAAACAACTGGTCCCTATCAGGGGAGGTCACAGATTCTACAAGGGCAATCGCTATCTACCTCGAGTCAGCTAGAGCAGGATCTATAGTGCTACGAACTCCAGCTCTAGTGAACAGTACATATGCGCTCCTATTAAAGGGCGAATATGCTGCACAATAAATATAAAGTTATTATTAAATCATCTATTTCGTGCCTTTCGATCACCCATTTCTATCAACACGAGCGGTGTGTGATAACTATAGTACTTGAGAGTCTTAACTGAAAAAGTATAAACTTCAGAGGAAATATTCTTAGTTCTACTATACGTAAACTAATAGAATACGGGATAAGTCGGTTAGAACTGAGCAGTGGTTGCTTTTGTAACAATATTATATACATACGGTTATAACAATGGCCTGCGGCGTGCATGTTTTTAAACAGACTAACAAGGCCTAATATCGCCAAGACAATGACTATGCACGAGATTTTAAATAGCAGATGTTATACCTATGTACAGTACATAAAAATTACAAAAAAATAATATTTTAAGGGAGCCAGAGCACCACATTGTTTTTATATATTTATATTTTTTTTGGGTGGTGGATCGACGAGTCAATTCGAGAGGATCATGCGCGTGTTGAAAAAAAAAGAAGTAAATACAACACAACGAGAGAGAATAAAAATAAGTGTAAACACATATTATTACACAGGCGGTACAGCTACATACAAGTAACAGCTACATACATACAAGCGCACGTTGCTTGCGAACAATCGTCTGATATGCTTAGATCCGTAATTGGTGCTTCCGCACTCAGGAGGTCCCTCAGGACCTCCCCCAAATGCATATACCGTGGGCTGAGCTTATTCACCAATCCAACATATAGTGAACCACGCTCGCTAGCGCAAACGCGCGCGCACACACATAGTCGCACTTCATTAAGTCTGAGGTCGTGTCCACAGCAATCAATAGTTGTCGGTTTCTGTAAACGTTCAGTACAGACCGAGGCTGAAGTTGAAGAGAAAGATGTGCCAGCGAAGCAGTCTAAAAAGCCTGCATCCCCACCGGAAAAAAAGGCAACTGCTGCCACAGCAACGGAAGATATACAGAAAGCGATTAAGGAAACGGCTCCAGACGTGAGTACTGTTTGATTACGATATATGTTTTTCTATTCTGTGCCCAGCATTCGTTCTTATTTGAATGGTGCGTTTGCTGCATCCATACAAAGATAGAAAAGGATGTGCGTACTATTCCGATGAACGAACGTGCAAAAGTTAAGCCTTGGCCAGTTACACAGACCAGCGGAGACACTAACTGTACGGCTACACACGAAAGTGCCTGTACAAAAAAATTGATACTAGTACATATCTTTACGAGTGTGTCTCTTGCATATATTACCTATAGATATATATATTACACACTCACATACACACACACACACACACACACACACACACACACTACACTCATATATATATATATATATATATATATTATATATATATATATATATATATATATATAAATATATATAAATACACACACACACAAACACACACACAAACACACAGACAC